AAAAAGATGAAGTGTGTGACTCACAGATTCCTTCAGCCTTCTCAGCAGAAATCAAAAATAGTGATAAAATTATCTAGGAAAAAAAAAACCTGGAGGATCCTCCTGTCTAATGGAATGAATGCTTGTGTCACACATGAGAGATCCACAAGATTCTTGAGAACTTTATACCAACAAAAACACTGCCAGCTTGGATTTTAGGGGACACAGACAGCACAAAGTGAAAGGCTGTCAAACAGTCAAAACTCTACAAACAAGAAACTGGCTGTAAAGCTACTCAGCAGCAAATACATGCTAACCTTCACAAAAAAGAAATCTTCATGAAAAAAAGAGGACAGAAGCTTGAAAAGTCACAAGCTACAGAAAAATTACCACCAGATCTTGAAACCTGAGTTTGCCTGGATGGATTTTGAAACTGCTTGGGATCGGTGACACCTTTAATCTTTTTCTGTTTGAAAGGAAATATCTGTAACTCTTATCCTATGGCTGTCCCCATCACTGTATTTTGGGAAGAGGTAGTAACTTGTTTCTTGATGTTCACAGGTTCATAGCTTAAGAGGAATTATTCTCCGGGCAGATTACACACAAAGTCTCACTCATGATTTATTTAGGTAACAAAATTTAGACTGTCTAAGTTGATGAGATTAGGTAAGGTTTTTCAATGTGGAGTTAAGGCTATAATGAGGTTGACAAGACTTTGCAGATAGGATAAATGAATTTTGCATGTAGGAAAGAAGTGAATCTTAGGTCAGAGGGTAGGCTGTGTAGGTAGAATAATGACTTTCCAAAAATGCCACATTCTAATCCTTAGGACTTATAAATGTGCTTAAACGCAAAGGATAAAATGGGATTAATACCACTAATTGGCTGACCTTATAATATGGTGATTATCTTGGATGATACAGCTATGAGTACACAGTGTAAAGAAAAAAAACTTTTATCTGAAGGAAACTGGGAAAAGGCACATAAGAGGTAATATCTGAATCCAGTTTAACAGAAGCAGCAGAAAGAAGCCAGGAGGAAGAAACAGGGCACACAAGGACATGGGGACCCATAAACACAGCAGGTAGACATGCAAGCAAAAAGAAAAATGAACGTATACTGTAGATTAAGGAAATTATCTTCTACTGGTTGCTTGCTAAGAGTTTAAAGAACAGATCAATGCTGAATTTAACATATTTTTAAAATTTTAGAATCCTATTAAGATAATCATATAATCTTTCTTTTCATGTAAAAATTACATTGATTTTTCTTATATTAAACCAACCTATCATACCTAAAATAAATCCAAATTGGTCTTGATAAATTCTCACTTTTATGTATTATATGTGGGGTTGCTAATATTTTATTTAATATTTTTGCATTTACTTTTACAAATGATATTAGACTATCATTTTCAATAGGGCTTCCCGGACGGCTCAGTGGTAACGAATCCGCCTGCCAATGCAAGAGATGTGGGTTCGATTCCTGGGTCAGGAAGATACTCTGGGAGAGGGAAATGGCAATCCATTCCAGTATTTTTGCCTGGGAAATCCTATGGACAGAGAAGCTAGGCAGGCTATAGTCCATGGGTTTGCAGAAGAGTTGGACACAACTTAGGCTTCAGCAATACGTGAACCATGAACTTCCAGATGTTCAAGCTGGTTTTAGAAAAGGCAGAGGAACCAGAGATCAAATTGCCAACATTCACTGGATCATCAAAAAAGCAAGAGAGTTTCAGAAAAACATCTATTTCTGCTTTATTGACTATGCCAAAGCCTTTGACTATGTGGATCACAATAAACTGTGGAAAACTTTGAAGGAGATGAGAATACCAGACCACCTGACCTGCCTCTTGAGAAACCTGTATGCAGGTCAGGAAGCAACAGTTAGAACTGGACATGGAACAACAGACTGGTTCCAAATNACGACAGAGAATGAGATGGTTGGATGGCATCACCGACTCAATGGACATGGGTTTGGGTAGACTCCAGAAGTTGGTGATGGACAGGGAGGCCTGGCGTGCTGTGGTTCATGGGATTCCAAAGAGTCAGACACTACTGAGCAACTGAACTGAACTGAACTAGCCACTAAACACCACCACGACAAATTAGGCTATAACTTTCCTTTCCTGTATGGTCTTTCTTGAGTTTCAACACCACGACTTTGTTGGCCTAAAATAAGTTGGAAGTATTTCTCCCTTAGCTGTTCTTCAGAAGGTTTTGAAAGATTGGCACTTATTTCTTCCTTAAATGGCTAGTGGAATTCATAGATGAAATCATCTGTATCTGAGTTTTCTATGATCAAAGATTTTAATTATAGATTCAATTTCTTTAACAGTTACAGAACTATTTGATTTTGTTTGTTCTAGTGTGAATTTTGTTAACTTGTATTTTTCTAGAAATTTATCCCTGTCACAAAAATTTCAAATTCAAGTCATTTAGAATTTTTTTCTTTAAGTATGTGTACATTCTATAATAACATTGTTTCTTTCATTCCTGATGATTCTTTTCGCTTTCTTGTTTTCAATTGTATTAGTCCTTCCTCACCCACAAAAGCCCATAGACATCCCTTTTGGATTGGCTGATGCTCTGTATTGTATGATTATTTCCTGTATCAAAAGTTCTGCTCTTATTTTCTCTTCCTCCTTTTCTTGGTTAATTCTGCTCATCTTCTGATAAAGTTTTAGCTTTTCTTCTTTTCCTATATATGTATATAAGGCTATAAATGTCCCTCTAGATACTGTTTCAGATTTACCTCAAAAATTTTTGCCATGTAGCACTTTCACTATCATTCACCTAAAAATATCTTCTCATTTCTGATGAGACTTTTGCACTATCTTTGTTTCTGATTTCTAGTTTCATTCCACTGTGATGAGAGAACATATTTTATATGATTTCAATCTGTTAAGTTTCACCCATGAGTCCTACAAAACATTTAAAGGAAGAAGAAACAATGTCAGTCTTACATAAAACTCTTTCAATCCTTTGAACCTTGCTTAGACCTGTTCTATGACTCAACGTGGTCAATTTTTATAAAAGTCCATTTTTAAAAAGATATATATATATATATATTCTGCAAATGTTACAGGGTAACATGCTCATTCGGTCAAGCCTGTCAATCCCACTGAAATTTTCTATACTCATATTGTGTTTATATTTTATATTGTTTTATTTTTATCTACCTGTTCTATTACTAAGAAATGTATGTTTTGAAATCCCCCATTATAATTTGTGGATACGTCCATATATCTTTAAAGTACTGTCAATTTTTTATTTATCTTGAGGGCATGTTGTTATGCATACAAATTTAGAATTATTATATATTCCTGATGATTTTAAACTTTTATAGTTATAAAATAATCACTATTTCTTATAATTTTTTGGTTTAAATTTTACTGTATCTGCTATAAATGATGTCCACAGAAGAGACTTAAAAGATATAGCCAGATTAAGTTAAAATGAAAATCAGAAAAAAAGGTTATCAAAAACTATGGCAAGAAAGTGTCTTTTCAGAAAAAATAAGTAGTCAATAATATCCAATGTTGCCAAGTTAAAGACTCAAATGTCTGTGGCATTTAGCATCAAGGACATAATCTTTAAAAGAACAATTTCAGTCAAGAAAAGAGAATGGAAAGCGAGGCAGCAGAGGCTGTAAGCAAAGGAAAGTCCTTCAGGAAACCTAGTTATAGAGACGACAGCGTGAGCCTGGAGAGATGTCTAATTGATGGGGAGTTTTTTGTTTTGTTTCCAAAAAGGAAGAAACCAGTAGACAGCAAAAGGGTGAAGATATACAATAAAGGAGGTATCAACAGAAGAGGTCCCTGATGTGGCAGGGGATGGGCCTCAAAGCACAGATGAAACAGTATCTTTCAACAAAGGAGAAGCATATTAAAACATAAAGCAGAGGGTGTGCATATGTATTTTCCACTCACATAAACTTATATAAGCTCTTATAAAACAGAAAAACTATATAAATTAGGTTGCATCTATACACAGAAATTCTAACAATGGTATTTTTTCCAGTGGTCATGTATGGATGTGAGAGTTGGACTATAAAGAAAACTGAGCACCAAAGAATTGATGCTTTTGAACTGCGGTGTTGGAGAAGACTCTTGAGAGTCCCTTGGACTGCAAGGAGATCCAACCAGTCTATCCTAAAGGAGATCAGTCCTGGGTGTTCATTGGAAGGACTGGTGTTAAAGCTGAAACTCCAATACTTTGGCCACCTGATGCAAAGAGCTGACTCATTTGAAAAGACCCTGATGCTGGGAGGGATTGGGGGCAGGAGGAGAAGGGGACGACAGAGGATGAGATGGTTGGATGGCATCACCGACTTGATGGACATGGGTTTGGTTGGACTCCGGAGTTGGTGATGGACAGGGAGGCCTGGTGTGCTGCAGTTCATGGGGTCGCAGAGAGTCAGACATGACTGAGTGACTGAACTGAACTGTTCTCTGTGAGATAGGATCATGGCCTTTACTGTTTTATTGTTCTTTCATATTTTTCAAATTTCCTATGATAAGCATATGATTGTTTTTTAAATGTCTCCAACTTCTGAATTATAAAAAGTAGTTCACCATTCAAGCAGAAAACCTAGAAACCAAAGCATAAAGAGGAAAAACAATACCTATAACCTCTGAATGTGCTGCTTTCATAGGTTGACAAAAATATGTCAGCTGTACTACTTAAGCTAACATTTTCTCAGAAAAAGGGAACACTAAGAGGAATACTGAACTAGAATAATCAAAATAGACAGTGACTCTACTATCATTCATAGACACAGAAGAAAAAGTGAACTCCAGTTTCCTCTTAGCTACCCATTTAAAATAGGATTAGTAAATCTCCACTTAGGTAGAATTCAGATTTGGAGACATATTATTCATTTAGAAGTAAATTTTTGCAATACTCTTTTCCTTCCTGGCCATGATGATTTTTACTATTTAATTATTAATAACACCCACTACTAACATTCATGCTCACTGGCAACACTTTAAAAAAAGGAAATTAAAAACGCAAACTTACAGTTGTGGTAAATTTGGTCTAACGAAAGGATCATTTTCTGCTCCATTGACTGCTTTGTTTTTCCTTTGTTTTGATTCAGAATTGGTAGAGGGTGCCTGAGAATTATTAGCTGTGGGAGGTTTGCGTTTGGCTAGAAGTTTCCTTTGCCTTTCAATATCTTCCCTTTGCTGATTCACCCATTCTTGTTGCCTACATAAAAATAAATGTGGAAAAAAATTAACCTTCCTTTACTTTTCACATTTAAAACATGAAAATACATTAGTAAACATGAAAAATCACATAATATAAACATGTAACATTATGGTCCCACTCCTGTGAACCAACACCTTCTCACTGTCCTTTTCTCATTTGAAACATACATTTTTAAATGAGGTCTTCCCTATACCCCCTGGATGAGAAGGGTATGTTGCCACATATAACTTCATAGTATCTTGTAGCTCCCCATCTTCTCTTTTCTAAACAAATATTTCTATGGACACTTGATCTCAATATGTCTGGTTAGACTAAATCACTCCATGAGAACAGAAACAATTATTTTACATGCTATTGTACCCTAAGTGCCAGCATAGTGACTGGCACATGCTAGGCATTCAATAAATATTTGTTGAATAAAATCAATCAGCTATTTAAAAAAAGAAATAACAGAGTTAAGGAGTAGGTTTTATACATTCATCTCACCAGTGTTTAAAGAAAAACTTATAAAAGACAAATGTGAATTTATTAATCAAGTGTTATTTTCTAAATGTATCTCTGTTAAATTTCAAGAAAGGGTAAGTGGTATACTGAAATGAAACAAAAACTGACCTTAGAAATTTAGGAAAAAAGAAGGAATTTTGACACTTTAAAGAGAGAAAATACCAAGAAAAATTTAGATGGCATTGAAAAACAGGCAACTAATGTAACTAAAAATATTACTGTTTCCAATTGAAGCTTTTAAAAACCACCCTCTCATACAACATTTTAAGCCTGTTCTAATATAATTATCTTCCCTCTTAGGTCACCTCACCACACTAGGAAATAATTTTTAAAAAACTAAATGGTAATTGTGACAGGATGTGGAATTTTGTCTAATTCTTTTATTGCATCAATTGACATGATTTTGGTTGTTTTCCTTCATTGTATTAGGTGACATATCACACTGATTAATTTTTGTCTGCCGACCTACTCTCAAACCAGGAATAAATCCCACTTTGTCACAGTGTATTTTTTGTTTAAAAAAAAAAAAAAAAACACAAAACCTCCATGCTGATGGTACTCAGATTTAGAACAAGTCAAATATTTCAGTTCCTCCCTCCTTCACCCCTATTCAGACCAGAACTAGAGAACTTCCACTCTACCGACAAAGACCTGTTTTACACGTTTCAGAGTCCTATGATTCCAGTCAGGCAGTGCAGAACATGAAAGAAGGGAAGGAATGAAGGAGCACCCAAGTAAAAGAGCAAAATGCTGGAGAAAAGTCTCAAGAAGAACAAGGTTTGAATATGACTTTAATCCAGTTTTCTACTGGAAGTAGGAATAATTTCAGTTTATTTAAAAAATTAATTTTAAAGCTAGTTTAGGGTACAATCAAGATTAATAAAAATAAACAGCAATAATCCTACTGAAATAATCAAAGAATTACTCTAATGGATACACACATACACATATACACACACATACATATATATATAGTGACTGATTATTCAGTAATGACCATATAGTTTAGAGATTATTAATTTAATATTACTAGTTTTTATTTCTCTTCTTATCCTCCAACTATTTTGGGTTATATCACAGCTTAAAAAATATACACTGATTAACAGTTTTATATTAAATATATACGTATATGTAATATATATATGTAGCAACATACAGTAGGACCTCAGTAAATGCTTATCAGTAAGAAAAAAATACAAGTAATTTTTTAAAAACTGGGTTATTGCTTTATTATAAAAGGATATAGCTCAGAAACAGCCAGATGGAAGAGCTGCACAGGGCGAGGTATGGGGAAGAGACATGGAGCTTCCATGCTCTCTCTGAGCCGGATAACGTTCCCAGATCTCTACACATTCACCAAGCCATAAGCTGCAATTTTATTCTTTGACAGCTTAATGGAGAAATTTTAACAATTGGCAGAGTTTGTATTTTAGTTTATATTTAATGCTATATTATGTAACCTTCTTTCATTCATTACCAGGACAACTGCAGATCTGGGTTTAGCAGCTCAGAAAAACACTAAAAATTTTTAAGTTGTATCTCAACTCTATCTCTTACTTTCTACTTCTACGGTTAATATTTTAGCTCAAGCCTAATCACCTTTCATTTGGATGCTTCTCCATCTAAACTATCAATAATTTATGTTCTTTTCAGTATTATTCCCACATTACTATCAGTTACCTTTCAAAAACTCAAATTTGACCACACACACTATATAAAACTTTAACAGCTCCCTTTTATCAACAGAATTAAAAATCCAAACTTCCTACCATCACAAAGACACTGTCCTTCAATACCTAACACCCAGAAACAGTTGTGTTGAACAGAAGCTGGGTAAATCAACTGAGATAGAGAGAAGACCATTCTATACTTAAGTCCAGGGAACTAATGTTTGAAACAGCAGTTTATGTGATACTATGTGAAATAAAGCTTTGCCTACATTTTCCATTTAACTGGACTGACTCCGGGAAAACTGATTTAGATGTTGGCACTACTCTTGCTTTGCAGGTTTTTATGTTTTTTCAGCAAAAAATAAGGGGGGGGGGGTGCAGCAATAGATCCTGGCTCCTTAACACAGAAACAGTCAACATACCCTTTCCTACCACCAACTTGAGAAAATGGATTTCTCCATTTTAAAGTTTACCTCAGAAGTGCTAAAGCCACATGTTCAGTTCAACTGACTTTTGAGTTATTATGTCTGACACTGTAGAGAAAATACTCCTGTCTTTCCCACAGGAATAATGAGCAGACAAATGCTGAAGGAAGGACTGGGGAATGGGAGAGGGGAAAAAACAAAAAACAAAAAACTAAGCAGAAAACCCCCAAGATATAGATACAAATCTTGCAATTAAAGTTAAAATTTTTAACATTTTCCCTCTCAACTGACTTATAAAAGCTAGGTCAGTTTATGTTTTGAAGAGTCATATTTAAAATAATACATCATACTATACAGATCATCCCTGGTGGCTCAGATGGCAAAGCGTCTGCCTACAATGTGGAAGATGCTGGTTCAATCACTGGATTGGGAAGATCCTCTGGAGAAGGAAATGGCAACCCACTCCAGTACTGTTGCTTGGAAAATCCCATGGGCAGAGGAGCCTGGTAGGCTACAGTCCATGGGGTCGCAAAGAGTCGGACACAACTGAGCAACTAAACTTTCTATACAGATGAATGCTAACTAATCAAGAAGTTTGCTAAAGATAAACTTGTAATGCCTATTTTATGTTCCTTTCAAATGTATTAAGTTCTATGATTTCAAAGAGTAGTAAGGAGTAGATATAGAACATAATTCCAAATCTATAATCTCTGAAAATAACAAACAACCAAAGGAATACTAAATCTTTTAAAATATAAGAGTGACTAACTTTACAAGATTCTGAAATGCAAAACCATCTGTCCATTGTTCAGTAAATGAAGCACCATGTCTAACTGTCGTGAAATGCCCAAGGCGTAATCTGTCTTGCATACTCTTCTCTCGGCTTGACAGTTTTTCTTGTGTACTCTGAAATAAAGGGGGAAAAAGAAAAATCATCATTCAACTTTATTAATTTAAATTTTAAAAACATACAAAGTAAAAGGGACTAGTGAAAGGAGAGGGAAAATTTATTGAACTTTTTTTTGATGTGGACTTTTTTTAAGCCTTTACTGAATTTGTTACAACACTGTTTCTGCTTTATGTTTTGGTTTTTTTGACCAGGAGGCATGTGGGGTATGTGAGGATCTTAGCTTCCCAACCAGAGACGGAACCCACACTCCTGCATTGGAAGGTGAAGTCTTAATCACTGGACTGACAGGGAACTTACCTTTTCAATAAGCAGCTTCTTGCTCATTGATATGCACTTATTTAATCGCTCTTTGTATTTTTCAAGTAGTTTTTGTTGCTCATCTATCTGCCGTCTGAGATCACAATTAGCCTACAATATAAGTAGACAATGAAAAATGTCTAGAATTTGTGTATATGAGACATTTAAGAATATTTATACATTTTGAAAAATTAAGAGGATTAATAAGATTAAGTATTTGAATGTGATACTAAAACAAAAAAATGTTAAAACACCTACTTACCATGAGAATAACAACACTGTTACATGCTGCTTAGTTGTATAGTGAAAAGTACATGGAATATGTATTCATACTCCACAGGTTCAAATCTACACTCTAGGGTATATAATCTGGGCTAAGTTAAATAAGTTATCTGAACCTTATTTCTAAAGTTGTCTTAAAGGTCTGCTCTATTATCTTATTTCTAAAACAGAGCAACGTCATTCTATCTCATTTGAAATAACTGAAATACAAAGTGTCTAACACTTAAAAATGCATGTGACTTCTCCTTCATCTTTTGTAATAAAACATCTCCATTCAACATGTGGGTAACACTGCAGATGCCTATCCAACAGCTAACTGTTCTCACCATCTTTCTCGGCCACACATGAATACAAATTTTGTTAACTCTGTAGGCGGTCATATGCTCAGTCCCTCTTTCTAAGCTCAGAAGATAAGCCTGATTAGTACAATCACCAGGGAGTAACCTGGAGAGCTTGTTGGAACACAGATTACCGGAATCCATTCCCAGTTTCTGAATAAGTAGCTCTGGAGTAGGGTCTGAAACTTTACTTCTAATAAATCCACTAGTAAGGTTGATGCTTCTGGTCTGGGGATCATTCTTTGAAAACCATAGGTCTATGCCAATCATGGTATAAGCCAGAAGAGAGCAGTATAATAAATCAAAAATGCTGGGAGAAAAATACAGCTGCCAATCTAAAAGTATGTATCTAACAAAAAGCTGTTTTCCAAGGAAAAGGGTAAAATAAAATAGTTTCAGAAGAACACATGAAATTTAGCATCAGACCCTTATCATTAGGTGCAAGTCAAACAGAACCCCAACAAATTGTGTATGTGTGACTTGAAAAATCTAACACTTTTCTAAGACTGCAAAGGACCAAAAACAGCCAAAAAGGAGATGATATTTGTTCAACCAGATATTAAGATTTAATGCAAAACCGAAGTCTTCCTCTGGATTGGTATGTGTCTAGCTAAAGGAGTTTATTTCCCATCTCCTTGCAGCTAATGATGGTTAGTGAAATGTAAGCAGAAGCTGTTCAATGGAATACTCAAGAACACTATGCAGAAAACTGTTGTATTTTTAATTTCCTTCCCCTTCTGCTTAAGAACACAGATACCATAACTGTGACTCTGAAATATTTTGTACCTTGATATAATTTTCCAGATGAAGGCCATGTACTAAAGGGAGGGAGCAGAAAAACTGAAGGAGACAAGATTCCATATGACACCTGGGCTACCTCCTTCTGTTCTTCTCTTAAAAAATAATGTTGTATTTCATTTAAAGTACTGTTGTTTATGGAAACCTATCCAGATGCCTATGGCCTGTGTAGCTCAGTCATCTCTACTTGCTAGCAAAGCTCTGCCTGGCTGGAAATAAAGTAGGACCAATAAAATTGCATTTTCACAAAACTTACCATCTTCCATTCAAAGGCCTATGGCCTCTTAGGCTTTGTCCAGGGTGGTAATAGCCTAACTGTAGACATTGCTGTCTAGATAGATGAGCAGCCTCCAAGGGCCTCCTCAGTCACATCTGGGATGAATGGTCAGTGTGGCACCAGGGGCCACAAGTGCAGTGTCCTGCCCAGCCTCCATCACTAGCTTGGGGGTCAGGGAAACACTTGACCCCCTGCCCCCTCAGTGGTGAGCAGTTTGCAGAGAAAAGAAAAACCCATCTCAGATATGTTAGTGAGGGGGACTGTGTTCCACGGGTTATCCCAGTGCCATTCCCTTCTGGGCCTGCTAGGGAAGGATAAACCTCCACCCCTAACTGGATTTAGTGTGGGGCAGGTAACTCAGTGGGCAGAAGACACCGTACTCTCAAGCTCTGACTTGGAACACCCCCCGCCTTTCTGTTCTTCTCTCAAAAAGTAATGTTGTATCTTATTTAAAGGACTGTTGTTTATGTTCTCTGTTACTAACAACCAAAGACAACAGCTAAATGATAAAAAGATGCTGTAGTACCTACCAGTATAGGAATACACAAAGAGAACATGGTACTTAACACAGAACACTGAAATACATGTATTTGTATATGAAAATAAGATTGTATGATGGAGCTGGCAGTAAAGAGTAGACAACTAGTTCTCTATATAGAAAGAAATTAAAATGAAACCTTATTTCACATCATATCCCAAAATGAATTCCAGTGAGATTTATAACTTGTATGGAAAAAGCAGACTATAAAATTTTTTAAGGAAGATATAGATGAACATCTTTATCGTCTTAGGGAAAAAAACAATGAATTATTTTGGTATACCTTTGATAATAATTTGGTACAAACTATAAATAAACACATTGCTCAGTCATGTCTGATTCTTTGCAACCCCATAGACAGTAGCCTGTCAGGCTCCTCTGTCCATGGGATTCTCCAGGCATGAATACTGGAGTGGGTTGTCACGTCCTTCTCCAGAGAATCTTCCCGACCCAGGGATCAAACCCAGGTCTCCTGCACTGTGGGCAGATTCTTTACCATCTGAGATACCAGGGAAACCCATAAAAAAAGAGACATGTAATCATATAAGTTTTAAATGACCTAATCAAAAGATAGTGTGAAGAAATAAAAAGACAATTCACACACTAGGAGAAAAATCAATATATATGGCCAACAAAAAAACTGATACCAATTTTGAAAAAGACAGCAACTCATTAAGAAAAATGAGCAAAAAAAAAAAGATCATTTACTTCAATGAAGAAATACAAATGGTTAATGAATATTTTACAAGATATTCAAAAAATAAAGTGAATGCATAATAACTAATACCTTGTTATATCCATTAAACTGAACCCCCAAACTAAGTATGATTCTAATAAGCCTTAGCAAGGATAATGAGCAATAACATTATTCCCTGCTTATAGTTAGTGGAATGTAAACTGATCCAACCACCTTGGGAAAAATTTGCTTTTATAGAGCAGAGTTTAAGCTATGCATGCCCTATACTCTAGCCATGTCTAAGCATATACCACACAGAAATTCTCCATGTGTGCCGCAGAATTTACGTACAAGAATGCATCTTAGCAGAACTGTTCATACTAACAAGAAGTAGAAATAATAAAAAAAAAAAAATAAAAAAAAAAGGTAGAAATAAAATGTCCAGCAAGAGCAGGAAAGATAAATTACAATATATTCATTTACACCTTACCATACAGCAGTGAAATAAACATGACAATCCCACATATAACGCTTAGTGAAAACAAGCAGGGCATACAATATAATTTTGTAATTCAAAGTTCAAAAACAGTGAAATAATATGTTGTTAAGAATGTATAAGATATATACATATAACTATAAAGAAATACAAAGGCATAAGAAATAGATACAAAATTTACAACAGTGGTCAACGGTAAATGGATGTAAGAGAGTGAATAGGATGGGAACGGGAGAGGCACACTAGATGTTTTAGAGATATTGGTAATTATGGTATGATCACAGATGATGGTTTCATTGAGTTTCTATACCAACAGTTCTGTTAGCTAAATTATAATCATTTAGAGAAGGTTTTTATTTTTCCCCCTTAATTAATTTACTTAGTTGAGCTGGATCCTAGGTGCAGCATGTGTGATCTAGGTCCCTGACCAGGGATCAAACCTGGGTCCCCTTCATTGGGAGCAAGGAGTCTTAGCCTCTGGACCATGTAGGAGCTTTTAAAACTACCAATGTCCAAGCCCTACCTCATACCAATATAATTAGAATTCCTCAGGGTAGAAATAAGCATTGTTACTTTTATAAAGTACCTCCCATATTTTCCATCCAGTGATTCAAATGAGCAGCAGTGAGAACCACTACTTCATCCCTTACTCACATATTAGGCATACTTTTTGATGTGCCTCTTTATGAAGTTTCCATTAAAAATCTCACAAAATTGCAGCAGTTATTTCATCTAGTATAGTGTCACATGGCAGTCAGGTTTATAACAAAATCAATTAACTTTAAAACCACCATGAAATGGATATCTGTCTTAGGATAGCTGATCAAGTAAAAATAAAATTTTATAAACTTCTATTTCTCCAACTGCTTTTCAGCTCACATTTAAAGAGATAATAAAAGTTTTTTCTTTAAATGGTTGACATTTTCAGTTATGTCCTTAAAACTAAAAGACTTAATTTCTCCCAATAATAGAGATTTTTAAAAATGTTAAGTATTTACTCAACTGTTTTACTATTGCCAAATATTTGGCAGTGACGACTTTTTACTTACCCTGAGCAAGTCATCTATACGACCTTCCTTCTTTTCCAGGTCCTGGTTTTTATTACTTTCTAATGCTGCTAATTTCAGCATCGTAAGATCAGTCTAAATAAAAGAAAGCTATTTTATTATTCCATTATATGTATCACTGCATGTAAATATAAAATTATATTTAATTCTGATTCTAAAAATCATAGAAGCATTGGAGTTTGTGTATGTAAAGGGTGTCCCAAAAGGTCTTAGTGTAGTTTTAAGTTTTATTATCTTCAGAAATGTAAGTGCTACACAGACTTTTTAAAAAAAATTTTCAAAAGTTAATCATTTAAATTTTTAGAATATTGATATGTTCTTCATTAAAATTTAGAATAATCAGTGTTATATGATATCAACTCTAGCTGATTTTTGAACAGGGCAATTCACAAGCTGTTCACTGACTCAAAGTAATGTACTTGTAAATCCTGGTCTAAAGATTATCCAAAGAAAGAAGTTATGATGCATTCACAAGATTCTGGACATGACCTGACAGAAAAAGTGTAACAGCAATAAACTGTAGAATTAAGGTGGCAAGCAAGAAGATCTACTTTTTCAATCCTTGGTTTCAGACACTCATCCAAAAACTGTCACATGTATATAAAGTTAAAATGAAAACTCCAGTATTCAAAATTCATAAAACAAAGTAATTGCAAAAGATGTCTGATTTTCAAATAATTTTTAATTGTGTAGCATATAAGATACACAAAAATACAGACATGTAAAACAAACTGCCGTAATATCCACTTATAACAAATATAACACCTTCAAGAAGGTATCAATTATATGTACTTGGATGTTAAGTTCAAAAAGAATCAGTAAACAGAACTGACATATTATGGTTATTTTGGTTATTTAATTTGCTTAAAATATATATTTAACCAGTGTAACAAAGGACAGACTGACAGTAAACTGGGTTTCAATTTCTCACCCTCTATGAATTGTTTTTTTGCTGTTATTCAGTAATTAGCTTTCTTGATACTGAATTTTACTTTATGATTATGTCTAAAAGAGAAGACATCTTAATTGTGTGCACAAACTGGTCACTGGTTTTTTATAAGTCATACAAAGAAATCTCAGTTACTATTTACCTGAGTAATTTTAAAGGATAACTGCTTTGGCTGTACAATAGGGTGGTCCCCAAAAGCTAACGCAGTAGGAGAAGGGCTATTCGGTCGAACCTTAACAAAATATTAAATTTTACATTAGCAAAAATAATACAATAGCAAGATTCTTCTTGATGTTTGCCAGAAAACAACAAAATTCTGTAAAGCAATTATCCTTCAATTAAAAAATAAATCTTTAAAAAAGAATTAAAAATAGACTTTTGCTTAACAACAACTAAATATTGCTTAAGTGTTTATTAGGATAATAACTCAAAACATAACTGAATTTGAAAAACTTTTTATCACCATTTATTTAATAAGGATTCATTGTACCTCCCTCTTACAAAGCCCAGTAAAAGAGACAACCAGCCATTTGATAGATAGATAGATAGATAGATAGATAGATAGACAGACAGACAGACAGGTATGCGCCTTTGTCTCAAGACACTCAACCAAAAACTGTCACATGTATAAACTTTATATATATATATATATGGAGTTTACAGTATGGTGTCATAAAAGAAAATCGAATGCTTTCAATCTGTTAAATATAACAAGGCCAAATACATCATTTTAAAACAAAATTATCAAAAACAGCTTATGATGGTTCAAAAAGTAAAACTGAAAGACTTCAATATATCAATAGAATTCTTTTAGCACTAGGGACAACAATGCATGCCCATGCTATTGCTGTTATGTTAGTTGCTCAGTCATGTCTGACTTCTGCAGGACCACATGGACTCTAGCTTGCCAGGTTCCTCTGTCCATGGAATTCTCCAGGCAAGAATATTGGAGAGGGTAGCCATTCCTTCTCCAGGGGATCTTCCCAACCCAGGGGTTAAAACCAGTTTTCTGCACTGCAGGTGGATTCTTTACCATCTGAGTCATCATGGAAGCCCTAATGCATGGCCATGTGTAATATAAAATTAATTTACTGATAAGTTGCACAGTTTAACTAGTCATTAATTTTAAAATACGTTCACTGAAAACAGTCGATTACATCATGTACCAATGCTATCACTACAATTCCAAGCTATTTTTGAGTTTTATACTTTACTTGGTATATAGCAATAAGATGTCCTCCAAGGTACAAAATGAGTAGGACATTAAAAAGTATGTATCTACAAAAAGGACTAGAAAGCAACACTGGAAGTTAAAACAGTGTACTTGAATAAGTGACATACTCTTAATTTTTAAAAATTCTTAATTCATCTTTAAATTACTGAAAGCCAACACTGCTATTCTGGTTATACAATGAACTTTCACATAATGAAAGTAAAAAAACAGTAAATAAAATCCAACATGAAGAAAAAAAGAAAAAAAATCCAACATGTAGAGCAATGCATATAAAAGAAGTGGATCTTAAAAACATTAGAAACAAGCTAAAAAGTTTTAAGTGAATTTTTAGGTCCAAGATCCTTTTCTTACCCCAAACTACATTATCCAAGGCTGACAGCTGCCTACTCTTTTCTCAAGGATTCCCAGAAAGGAATTATGCTACCATTTTAGTGGTTAAGAAATTTAACTAAGATCCCTGACCAAGGATCGAACTCGGGCCCCGGCAGTGAAAAGTGCTGAGACCTAACCACCTGATTCCCAAGGAATTCCCAGTTCCATCATTCTTTTATAGAAACATTACTTCTTGGAAATAATTAACTCAGAAAATCTTTAACTTAAGAATCTCACTTTCAGAAATAAAGTTCTAACAGCATCAAATCACTGAAAAGAATTCAACTCGCCTCAATAGAATGAAAGACTTTCTAAAAAAGATAAATGCTAATATATATATGTTTGATCCCTGAGTTGGGAAGATCCCCTGGAGGAAGCCATGGCAACCCACTCCAGTACTGTTGCCTGGAGAATCCCCATGAACAGAGGAGCTTGGTGAGCTACAATCCATGGGGTCGCAAAGAGTCAGACACGACTGAGTGACTAAGCACACACATATAAACGGCCTCAATAAAGACAAATTATAAAAATTATTCATTCAGTACACATAACCTCTGAGACATAAAAACCACACATGTAAAAACTTACAGATGAAGAAGGAGTGGAATGTGAATGTGAATTCTGAGGCGAACGGATTGCAGGAGGTATACCTCTTACTGGACTTGAGCCATTTCCACCTTGGTACTGAGGGTAAAAGGAAACACCACTATATATATATATATATATATACACACACACATAAAACAAGAGTTTAGAAAGATGTTGTTTTAGACATGGCATTATGAATTAATTTAAATGTATCTTATTATTTTTGTGGCAGACTCAAAGACAAATTCCCCCAAAACAAAGAACATGTCTTATTTTTCCTTCAAATTTTAGCAGTTCCCTTATGCTTGTGAAGCCAGCAGGATCTCTAATCCCAAGAAACTTTAATCTCTTTACATGTAGATGTGTAGATGTTAATCAACTATCTTAAAACAGAACTGTCATTCCCAAGATCTGTTAAGTATCCAAATGTTCATAGCACTATAAAAGAACTACTGGAGCAAGTCCTTTCTTAACAGCACAAAGTCTAATAAAAATCAATTCTTTCTTACATGCACTACAGTGAATGACTTAACTGCGTATGAAGAGAAGCCACCTGATCTGTTCCACAGCTTTCTAAAGTCTCATGTTTCTGAACCAAGAATGGAAGTGAAAAATAATTTGCTGCTAATGGCTTCATCTCTGGGTATTAGGTATGAACAGCAGAAAAGGAGACTTCCCAGTGCGTTCATTAAACAACGTCTAAAGAACTTGGTCTAAACTTTTTCTCTATCGCAGAAAGCAATGGCATCCCCGCTCCAGTGCTCTTGCCTGGAAAATCCCATGGATTTTTATCTATACTGCCTAGCATAATGCTCAGCACATAGCAGGCATTCAAGACACTTGACATGTGTTTATCTGAACAGACCCTACCTTTGGCAAAGATTTTTAATGATATTAACACTAAGGGACTGACAGCAACCAAAGAGCTTTAGGTGTATCTTATAGTCTGCAACAGTTTTAACTTAGACTCTGTAAACTCAAAAAAGAAAAACAATGGAGGATATATATATATATACATATATATATATGAATGAAAGAGAGTGACTGTATTAGTCACAGTCATGTCCAACTCAGTGCAACCCCATGGAGAAGAGCCCACCAAGCTCTTCTGTCCATGGGATTCTCCAGGCAAGAATACTGGAGTGGGTTGCTACGTCCTTCTGCAGGGGATCTTCCCAACCCAGCATTTATATATATATACACATATACATATAAAAAATACAGCCCGTCTCTCAACCAGCAAATTCTGCTCTCTCTCAAGTAAATATAAATATTTTTCAACTGACTAGATTATTATTTTAGTAATCACATTAATAATTTATAATATAATGGTAGGCAAAAGTGTTTCTGTGTAGAGGTGAAGAAACATTCCAGATTGGATAAAAATTTAAATTTACCACTGTTTATTATTTTCAGGGACCATTTAGATTCACATCTCTATCATTATTTAATCTCCATCCACAGGCCTCAGCTGTTGCTTTGGTACAATAAAATCTCAACTGACAGTACAAAGAATTCTAGAGGCTCTTCCATTTAAAATTTGCCTTTAGGTAGGATACTTTATGTGGATTCCCAGGTGGCTCAGTGGTAAAGAATACACCTGCCAGTGCAGGAGACTCGAGTTTAATCCCTGGGTCAGGAAGATCCCCTGGAGAAGGAGATGGCACCTGATCCAGTGTTCTTGCCTGGGAAATCCCATGGACAGAGGGCCCTGGTGAGCTACAGTCCACAGGGTCACAAAAGAGTCAGACACAGCTGCGTGACTAAACAAGAAGGCTACTTTAACATCTCTGGTTCTCAGGCTCCTCACCTAAAACAGGAATACTAATACCTGCTTTGACCATCTCCTGACCTATTATAAGAAAATACGGGAGAAAGTCCTTTGAAAATTATGATGTGCCATACCAAAGTAAAAGTAAACTTTAATGTTCCGAGAAAGACAGGACATCACATGGTACTTAAGTTCTGCTTTAATCAAGTAGATCCACTAAAGCAGACTTGGTGGTTCAAACAGCCTATAGCAGAATTATATTAAGAACTGAAGATATTCCTCAATGAACTTACTTCAAAATAGTCGCTAATTTTGTGGCCACGTCCCCCAATACTTTTTCCTAAAATATAAAAGTAAAAAATTTTACAGATTTAAAGTCAGTCGTGACTATCTATCACATATTATATGAGAAAGAGAATGTGCCAAACTTAATTCCCCTAATACACACAAAAATAATGTTAAGAATATGATATTCTAGTTGCGTGGTGATGGGCATTAAAAGAATACTAAGATTCCTCAGAGGGTCAGATGCCAACTTCACAATTCCAAAAATCAAAGGATATTCCAATAGATACATGTCAATTTTAAAAGTCTCAACTATGGGAAAATCAGAAAAATGTCATATTAAAAGACTGCCTGCTTTTAAAATGTTATTCATACTGCTTCATGGCTACTAACTTCATAAAAGTGTATCAATTAAAAATATATCAATTAAAAAAGCATCAGCTGCATAACTGACAAATTTATATCTATAAATAATAAAAAAGCTCGGTCAACACAAACCATAACAAACTTACAATAACATGCTTTAATATGAACACTATTTTGTAAAATGTTTGATTTTCTAAAAAGTATTTTCAAATTAATAGGATTTTTTTCAAAAACTAAATTTGAAATATTGTGCTTACATGGCCACTTTGATAAAGTGGTCAAAATTATTACAGATCACAGTTCTTTAATTAAAATTTTGCTCCAAAATGGACTTTAAAAAAACAAAAAGCAAATAAAATGAATTTTTCATCAATTTTATAAATACTAAACTGAGAAGCTGCTAAGAAATACAGCATTTTGGATGGGAGTTATCCTTCCTTCATTGGAATTACACTGAATACATAATTTCTTCAAGTTACAAAAGAAAAACTAAAGATAGCATGGAGTCAAAAGCATTGGATAATATAAACATTTATCGATTCAATACATTCATTCACTTATTTTATTCAACAAACATTTCTTGAGTGGTTACTATTTGCCAGGCATTACTGAGATGAACAAACAATACATTTAAAAGTTCAACAACCTCAGATTCCTTCCTGAAACAAGGTAGGGGGAATTAAAAAAAAAAAACTAAGAAGTAATACAACCTAGAAATTTTCAACAACAGCTTTGTACAGGTTTATTCAGAGGTCAGAGAGGACTGTAAGGTTTTATATACCAAAGGAATTTCCCTCCTGCCTATAACAACTTCCCTGCAGATTCTGAAGTGGTGCCATCTTTTAATGAAGACAGAGACGTTTTTGGGTTGCCTACCAGAAACTATTTCCCCAGTTCCTTTTCCCTGATTGAATCCAAATTTTATTCTGTTAACATTCCCTCCGCTCCATAAAACATATAATTTCAGTTCAGTTCAGTTGCTCAGTCATATCTGACTCTTTGTGACCCCATGGACTGCAGCATGCCAGGCTTCCCTGTCCATCATCAACTCCCTCAGCTTGCTCAAACTCATGTCCATCAAGTCGGTGATGCCATTCAACCATCTCACCCTGTCGTTCCCTTCTCCTCCTGCCTTCAATCTTTCCCGGCATCAGGGTCTTTTCCAATGAGTCAGTTCTTCACATCAGGTGGCCAAAGTATTGGAGTTTCAGCTTCAGCATCAGTCCTTCCAATGAATATTCAGGACTGACTTCCTTTAGGATGGACTGGTTGGATCTCCCTGCTGTCCAAGGGTCTCTCAAGAGTCTTCTCCAACACCACAGTTCAAGAACATCAAGTCTTTGGTGCTCAGCTTTTTTTATAGTCCAACTCTCACATCCATAGCTTTGATGAGATGGACCTTTGTCTGTGAAGTATTGTCTCTGCTTTTTAATATGCTGTCTAGGTTGGTCATAGCTTTTCTTCCAAGGCTGTTTCCTATCTGGCCTCCATTCTTAGTTCCCTATCTCTCCTCCTCCTAATCAGAAATCCAATTTTGCTTAGGTTATCATGCTTTCTGCACAAGGCCTATATTTCTAAGGAGAATGTTACCACATTTTCTATTTCAGAGACGGGCCTCATTTTAAGGGCAATAATACCTCTCATGGACATAATTGGTTTTGGAATGGACACACAACCCAATTCTGACCAAGAAGATGACAGGAGAGGTTTGCTATGAACTTAAATAAGCCTATGTCAAAGAGAGGGAAAAAAAGAAAAGCACATAGAAAACCAACCTCTCTCTAAAGCAAATACAAGTGTGGAAGATGAAATGAGGAGATACAATTAAAAATGGCCACAGTCCTAAAAACACAAAAGAAAAAAGTAGACAATTCTGTGGAAGGCAGATCACAGAGAAAAAGGTGTGGCTTCCTAAAGACATAGGCTGGCTCAACCAACCCGGAAGTCCCACACTATATTGGGACCTGCTTTTTTTAAGTGAGCTTTAAAATTTAATGTTAAAACTATCATAACTAATATAACTAAAATAAATCCAAGTTCACTAAACCACAACTTGAGGAAAACTACACTAAGATCAAAAAGGACCTCAGGCCACACTGAAATACAAAATAGCACAAACTTAGAGAAAGGCGCTAGAGTGACTCAACTTCCCCTTTCCACAAAGACAGCTGCTGCAAATATATTTCTTGATGCCAGTGCCACATGTAAATACTAGTAAGCCATGGGTTCATAGCTTTAGACTTTGTAGCTAAAAATGGCTCCAAAACACATAATATATGCATAAAATCATCATTACATGATTCAAGAGTCTAATTTATTGTATTTAATCTTGAGAAACCAAATTAAATGATAATACTATCTTATCCATTATAAGAAGTTTTGCAGTCTAGTGAAAGTAATTTCCTTACTAGTTTATAATATAAAATGTAAAGTAAAGATGAAGAAAGGATATGGAAAGAAAGCAAAAAAGGATGAAGAAAAGGTATGGAAAGAAAAAGATGATATTTTAATGAAGTACCTCAATCATTTTTATATAGTCTTTTTTTTTTTTTTTAAATAAAAGGGATGAGTAAATTTAGGTATTTGTTTCAAAGCAAGATACAAAATTCTTATCCAAAAACAACAAGTCATTTCAACACTGTATTTCATGTAAAGAGAGAACAGAGAAATGTGATAAAGGTAATGCATATCAGGTTTGGACATGACACTTTCTAATTCTCAAAAAAATAAAGTAAATGTTAGAAAGAATAACCAGAAGCAAACTACCCGTGGTACAAAAAGACTCCAATTTCATAATTTTTTATACAAAGTATATTTAAGCTATATTAATGCAGATATTACACGGTCTCTATATAAATCACAAAAACAGAAAACTTTTAAACAAATTATTAATTGAGTAAAAACCAGAATAATTAATTGCAAATACCTCTTTGGGTATGAAGGAACATTTTGTTTCACTTACCCTGACTACTTTCATTCTGATTTTCTGCTTTTCTTTTTCTTCCTCTGGATGATTCTGATTGTTTCTTCTCTGGTGTCTACAGAAAGCAAGTTAACAGAGTTTTATAGTTTCAACAAAACAAAATTTTATAATAACTATAAATGTCATTTTTATTTTCTAAGTAAGAAATTTTGCTAAATAGTGATCATGCAATGTGAATGTCTAATTACTTACATACAATTTCTTTAAAAGATAAACTTCTATAGCTATTGTATAAATTTTTAAAATTCAAAATGTAGAAGGCCTTGTATGTATTACTTGAAATTTATAGAATGTGACTTGAGGTGGATGAGAAATCTGAGAGTAATCAGGCTTAAAAGATGCCCTTTAAATTCTTAAAAAAACCTCCACATAGTAACAACAAAACACCATTTGTTTTTCCCATTAGTTTTCTACTATTAACATATATTCTATAAAAGTATACATATATATACACACATATATATACATATACATACATATATATATATATAAAACATACATTCTATAAACTTGGGCAAGGAAAAAAGAGCAGAACATAAATCCTAACATATATAATCCATACTAAAAAGGACCATTCACCTAAATGGTGAAAATTATTATCCAACAATAACAGCAAATTCATAGATTATACCCTAAATCAGGCATCTGCAAACTAACAGTCAGCTGGCCAAATCTGGCTAGCCACCTGTTTTTCACAAGGCCCATAATGTAAGTATAATTCTTACATTTTTTAATGACTGAAAAATATAAAAACAAAACAAGACTATTTTATCATATGAAAATTATAAGAAATTCAAATTTCAGTGTTCATAAACTGTTTTATTGGAACACAGTCACACTCATTCATTTATGTACTGTCTATAATTCCCTTCACACCACAACAGCAGAGTTGAGTAGTTCTGTCAGAAACTGTATGGCACACAAAGCCTAAAATATCCGGCCCTTTGAAAAAAAAGGTTTGCAGAGCTCTGTACTACATGATGGCTTGTTCTTAAATTACAGGTTTGTTCTTTTAACTGATATGAAGTACTTTCATCAGGCTACAACAACAATTTTTGTGGAGTCTGACAGAATGTTGTGTTTAGTGAAAAATTAAAACCAAATGTGCACAAGGCAATGGCACAGGGCCCTCAAATTCTAGAAGTCCGGCAAATATATCTGATGCCAGAACAAAAAATATCTGAATGAACGAAACATCAAGGCAACTTAAAATAATTCTCCAAAGGCAACGTAGTCCTCCAACAAGGAAGGGACTTAACCCACATTTTGATATCTCTTGTGGGTAGTTCTGTGATTAAATAGTACGAATGACAAAACACAATGACATAGGATATGAGGTATAATACCTTGAGGTTTATATAGATGCTCAATATCAACCTAATTCATATTGAACCTCTTTAGTTCCTCAAGGTATTATCATCTGCGGAATTTTAAGTTCTGTCACTGCCATTCTGCCAACAACATAACAAATTCAGAGAGGTTTAAGTGAATGCTACTGATCTGTGAATTCTTTAAAGACAGAAGTTACACCTTCTCCCCACTACCTCCTCCCACCTTCATGCCTAGCATAGTTATTTAATATTACCTTATAAATATGTGAATATTAAACAACTTACTCAAGGTAACCAGGATTCAAATCAGATTCAATTCTATGTATTTCCATGCCCTATATACACTTTTTCCCTCCTTCTATGTGTCATGATTATATGTACTACATCAAGAAGTAACTGAATGAATCAACTATACAAAAATACTTCAAATTGTCATTAAGTTCATAAATAAAATTTATTATGTCCAATAAACTACCATCATAAATTAAGAGATTAAAGAGAGCCACTCTAACTAACAATCTACTCAGGAGACAGACTGACATACAAGCAATTTAGGATAAACAGTTCATTACTTTAGTTTCATAGTCATAATCACCAAACTCAGACTTAAATGGTAACTAATCATCTATTTCTGTTGGAATAAAAATATCAGATTAAAAATGCTAAGTTAACAGTTTTATAAGGAATCCTATAATGGATTTTAAAACAAAGAAGGCATCCCAAATAATAATTTATTCATATCCTTCCCAATTTAATCTACATAAAAATATAAGGTCAAGGAAATATGGTTTTTCAGAACAGTTTCTGAAAATGCTTCTAAGAACCATTAAAATGCTAGCATTCACTGGCTACCTCCAAGTGGGGATGGAATGGAAAGATACGGTATACGAAGGTATTCTCAAACTTATTTGGGATAACATTCATCAAATACTTTGCTGGATATAGACTTCAAGACATTTAAGGTCCTTCCCTCCCCCCCCCTTTTTTTTAAGACATATAGGGTAAATGAGTAAAAACTTTTCCTCCAAGGCAAAATTTCCCTGAATTAAAATTCTTTTCTGGAATAGGGAAGTGCGACAGTTTTGGGAGAAAAGTCATTCTGTTTATCAGAACAAACCCTCAAATGCATAATGACTACAGTAAAGAAGAAAAGGCAACAGGCTTCCCTCCTTTAAACCAGAGAAGAATTTGAGGAAGGAGAATGAAGGAAAAAGGAGAATGAAGTGAAAAAAGGATGACAAGACTAAAATTAATTTTAAGACTGTAATCTAAGACTAGTGTGGGTAAAAAGCTGGAAACAGCTAATAACTGAAAAGCAGAGCAAAGCAAAAGATGAGAAAGGGAAACCTAGATATACCTAAATTTGCTTGTAAAGTAAACATAGGCATTATACACACACCATTTTGCCTTCCCATGAACTTTTTGCACCCACATCCTAGTAAGACTACCTAGTGTTGACCTTTGACTTCATTCTCACCTCTGTCAGCCCAATGGACCATAATTTTCTCAGAAGAAAAGTACCATGGATCTCTGAAGAAAAAAAAGACTAAGACTCCAACTCTGGGTCTACCATCTACCATAATTTTCAGCATGTTCCTTAACCAAGACTCAATTTTCTCAATTTTAAATGTGATAACAGGGGCATAAAAGGACTGAGGGGACTAATGAGAAATATACCAGAAACATAAGTAAAATAACATCTAGAACAGTGTATAGTCTGTATCAGTAAGCTATGCTTATCTGAATGGCTATCCTATTACTCCAAATATCTGTGCACTTGTATGTTCCAAGACTTCAATCAAGTGTCATTCATTAAATGGTTAGCAGCTTTTGACCTAACAGTTTAGAAATTCCTTGTAGGGTTTGCAAAATAAACAATGTTTCTTCTTTAAGGTCCCCAGTCAACTCTGATCTCAACTATACGCCTTTAGGGCCTTTAGCCCCTAAAGATTACATCACTAACTCTGAGACAAATGTACTTTAAGCAGTTTTCTGGTTCTGAATTTAAATAATCTGAGCAACACCTATATTAAACAAAACAGAAACTCTCAATGAAGCCTAATGCTGCCAATTCTCCTAGGTCATCCTTTGTGTATGGACTTATTTTGAGATTTCAAAACTTGAGGATTTAGGATAGGCAGAAACTCACCAGTATTTAACCTCTAAAATGGCTAATCACTGAAAAAAACTTCAGAATACTATCGGCGACTTTCACACTGTACTCCAGGGACACCTCAGGGGAGAGGAGGTTGTGTCTCCAAAGTTACTGAAGGAGAGGAAGGAGCAGGTGGCTGAGCTGAGGCTCCAGCTACCAGTGAGTGCGTGTGTGCTCAGTCACTTCAGTCTTGTCCAACTCCTTGCGACCCCATGGACTGTAGCCCACCAGTCTCCTCTGTCCATGGGATTCTCCAGGCAAGAATACTGGAGAGGGTTGCCATTCCTGTCTCCAGTGTCGAGCCACTAAGTACATCCTACCCCATACCCTATCCCTTGGAACACAGCATATCTTATTTTAAGATCCAGACTGTATACCAGATTTACTTCAAAGAAAGAGATTAATGACTTCAAAAATGTTTGAAAACCTCTGACCCTGACCAAACATCAGTTTCCTAGAAAACCTAAGGGACATCAATCAGGTCACCACTGTTAATTTTGTAAGGCATAAAACTTGTACACATTAAGCATTTTATATAGAACACTTTCAAACTTGTTACTGCTCTAATACTGTCATTCTTTCCTCTATTTTTTTCTCAGTTACTGCACTATAACTGGGCACAATGGGAAGGATCATTATGGAAGGCAAAATACTATGACTTGGCTTTAAAGTAAAGATGGAAAGACTACAGTAATTATAAAAAGTCAAAGAATTCTGGCATACAGTGGAACAGTGGTTAGGAGAACATGATGAAAGGAGAAATTAGCATTCTTTAAATCCATTTAGTTTTAAAACTTCTAGTTTGTAATCATACCAAAACCTGAATGATTACTCTGGCATTTATATGTTCCAAGATATTAGGGTGAGTTTATAAGCATTTTATAGAGTTAGAAGTAAATTCAAAAAAACAGATAAAGGACTCAAGGGGCAATAGTGATGTTCTAATGTTCTATTTCATCTGAAATTTAAGTCAGTGATTATTAAACAAGGTTTTTACATCTAATCATGTGGCCTCTTAGTTATCTTAAAATAAAATAAATCTGCCTTTCATCAATGCAAATAAGACCAAATATAAGAAAATAAGAACCTTAATGCTATCACAGAGTGAGGGAAAGAAAGCAACATGAATTGCTGAAAATTGATCACCACCTCTACAAGCCTCTGGCCAGAGTGAAAGTCGTGTCTGACTCTTTGCGACCCCATGGACTATACAGTCCACGGGATTCTCCAGGCCAGAGTACTGGAGTCGGTAGCCTTTCCCTTCTCCAGGGGATCTTCCCAACCCAGGGACCGAACCCAGGTCTCCCTGGGTAGAGAGATATTTTAAATTACTGGAATAAATGCATGACAGAAAATTGTAACAGCTTGTGAAAAGATATTATAATGTCAGTAAAAGAGGAGTGGATATTAAAATTTATTCTTCACCTCTACCTTAGGTAGAGATCATAAGCTCCAAATGAATGGAACAAAAACAAAAGTCAGACGGCATCACATGTAATAAAATTATTGAGTTAACAGACAAATATTTTTAATTTCTTTCCATTAAATGAGAAAATAAGGTAGAAAGAA